GGCAGTACGTTGGCCCCGACAGAGCGGTGGGTGAAGACCAAAATGTGGTGATGGAGGTGTTTGTGCAGCAGCCCGCAGAATACGTTACAGACCAGAGGCTTCGTGAGGAAATCCTCGATTCACCAGGGTATCAGCTTTTTGAAGATGCACGCAGACTTCGTGAAGATGCACGCAAGTTTACGGAGCGCATGGTGGCCACGCTCCGAGACTGGAAGGAATTTACAGATAAGAGTATTGTCTCTGCTATTGCACAGACAAAACTGAAGGCAGCTCTTCGGCAGGCGGAGGATGCAGAGAAGGAAAGGTGGGGAAACGAAAAACCTCCCAGACGACCGAGGCTGGAGGGATTCTACGAGTCCGTGTTTAACGCAACGTGGAGTCACGTCATGGGATTTCCTGAGGGCGAAGGGGAATACATGGTGGTGATAGAGGGCCAACGGCCACAAGAGTTATTATGGGAGTACACGCAGACTGTGCGTACTTTTCTCCCAGTGCGTGGTGAGGAGCAATTCCGTCCACCACGCCCACGACTCATGATCCTTTCCTCTGAAAAGCGATGGCCGTACTCGCTGAACCATGCAGTGCCTATTACCGACTGCTACATTAACATTGAGGTGCATCGGGTGTGGAAGATTGTCGAGGGTGATCTAAAAGGAGTGTTTCCCCCTCCAGATACAGACGCACCTAAAATGAGACGTCATCTTTTGATTGGAACCCCCGGCATAGGGAAGTCAATGGCGGCTGGCTCCTACCTCCTTTATCAGCTGCTGCACTACGATGCCACGAAGCTCCATGTGGTTGTGTACTGCTTTGGAAGGGATTTTGCATACTTGTTTGACAGGAGGACACGAACGGTGACAGAATACGAGGGTGAGAGTAATATTGGAAGGGCTATGGTAAATTTGGCTAGGACTGGAATGAAGGGGTATATTATCATCGATATGGCAAGACAACTTCAAGAACCATCGACTAATGTTGTGCCCTCTGATGAGTGGGGCATCATTATGTTGTCGTCCCCGAACGAAAAGAACTTCCAAGCATGGGCGAAGCAGGCGGGTGCTATCGAAATCATCATGAATTGCCCCGATGAAAACGACGTGAAGGCGATGTGTGCGTGGGGGACACGCAATACGACTGAAGAGGAGCAGGCGGAGTATTGGAGAAGGATGTACATGCGCATGGATGACGTCGGACCGATTCCACGATGCATCTTTAATGACAATAAATATAGAAAGCGCGTGCGTGATACCAATAACATCCTGGCAGGTATCGACGCCTCAGATGCTGTACATTATGGGATGATTGGAGGTAAGGGAATGTGGCCCTCGAATGACGCTTCTCACAAACTTGT